CATGCGAACAATCTCGTTGAAGGTCGTCGGGGCTCGCAGGACGATTTCTTGTTGAATCTCCGGTTTGAGTCCGCTCACGTAGCGATCGATTTTCTCGTCCTCGCTGATCCCTCCGATTTGGTCGCAGATGGCCTGAAACGACGCCGTGTATTCTTGGACAGGGCCCAACTGTCTCCACATCCGAAGCTTTGTGCGAGCATTTTCGCGCATGGTTAGTATCCTGTCTGTCACCCGCTCACGGTGGTCGTCCTGTCTGTCGGGTTGAACGGTGGGGGCATGGGAGGCTTGATTTTAATGGCCGCCCGCGGATCGCTCTGGATTTCTTCAACTGCTTCAGGTGTCGCCGACGCCTTCGCTTCGCTCGCAGCATCCTCGTCTCGGGTAACAGGCCGCTCCTGACGCGTTTCACCCCGCGTCTGGCAAAGTGACGAGTTTTCGTTGCGCAGCGTCTGAACTTCGCTTCCCAGCGACTCGAATTTATGCGCGAGTTGTTGAAGCTGGGCCTGCAGTGTCGTCACTGTAGCCGCCCTGGCTTGCAACTCGTCAAACTCCTCCTGAGTCACGTTCCCAACACTACGACGGGCAGAGGTTTCTGGCGTGCTAGTCATGCTGGAAATTTTACCCGACAGATCTGAGGGTGCACACGCTTTTAGTTGGAGGAGCTTTAACGAGCTCGCCTACCAACCGCTGGCCAACCCTCTATTCTGTCGAGTCCTCTCCCGATATAAACGGACTACTCTACGGAAGACTAAGCGGGCAGGAACGGGGCTCTGATACCAGCTGTTATGAATTAATCAGAGTAATAACAGGTAGTGTAATAAAAGAGTCGTGATTCAAGAGTTGTCAATACAAATGAGGACCTAGGCATTTATAGGCACAACAGGGCTAGCCGAGAACCTCGCAAACATGTTAGGGCAATTCGGTTGGCAAAAGCCACGGAGGCGCCGCGCATTAGGTTTGGGTTTACGAAATGGTTCGGGACCGAGGAAAATGGCCGGGCCTGGTCTTCCGAGGGTCGTGGGCGTACGCGCTGTAGTTGAGCCCAGTAAGGAAAAGGAATTTTCCTTACATGTGGGGAAGAAAAGGAGTGTATTTTCTTACAAACTTGAGGGCGTGTTTTCAAAGAAGTGTTTTTGCTCAGCCAGGGCTAAACTCTGAAAATATCTGGTACCTAGGGAGGTGGTCTCTGAGGGTAGAGTCGAATCTGACACTCGCAGGAAAACAATTGTCTCTGACCTCGAGTCTGACACTCGCTCCGGAATAAGCCCTGAGATAGACTGAAGTATGGAGTGCACATGCAACCAAACTTGGAGCGCAGGCTTGTTCTGCCCTCCCTCCCACAGACCCATCCCTCGCCTGGTTCTTCCCTGTCCTCCAGATTGAGCAGACCCTGACGAATTTGCACATACTCCGCGCTCCGCGCTCGTCTTTTCTCAGCATCTGTGCCTCTCCCTTCGCCTCTCTGCAGCCCGTGACCAGTTCTTGACGCACGACTCAAAAGGAATCCGATTGGACACCCTCGATGGGAAGAGTGGCGTTTGACGACTCTCAAGCGGAGAGAATGGGGGAGGCTTCCCCCGCGGAACCTGCGCCTGCAGCATGCGCTAATTCCGCCGATCCTAGCGCGGCGACCAGCGGGTCTGGCCCCCCGGCGGTGATGGCGGAGGCGGCGGAAGACGTGGCGGACCTCCTGATTCAGGTGCGCGGAAGGGCCCTTGGTTTCTTTTCTGACAATTACCGGATGTCGCGTGGAAACCCACTCGTCTCCCCACTCGTCTCCCCACTCGTCTCCCCACTCGTCTCCCCCCTCGTCTCCCCCCTCGTCTCCCCACTCGTCTCCCCCATCTCTCGGCCAGTTTCTCCCCTTCGTATTTTTCCTGTCTCCCCCTCTTCCTCACTGTTCCCGCACTCCCCCCATCCCCCAACCCCAAGTTGTCTTCCCTTTGCTCCCGCTCTCCTCCCCTCCCCCACACGCAGGGAGCGGGGTGTGGCGCGCGGAGGACGTGGCAGCAACGCTTTGAAACGCCGCAGCACCCATCCCCCTGCTACCCCCCTGTCCCCCCTCCCCCACAAACAGGGAGCGCGGTTCGGAGCCATGGAGGAAGTGGCAGCAGCACTGGAAGACGACTTCTTAGCTACTTATCTTCCCCTATTCCCCCCTCCCCCCTTTCCCCCACTCCAACATGCAGGGAGCTCGGTACGGAGACATGGAGGACGTGGCAGCGGCGCTGGATGGCAGAGCTGACCCCCTACCTCCTCCTTCATTCCACCATCTCCCCCCATCTCCCCCCATCTCCCCCCATCTCCCCCCATCTCCCCCCGTCTCCCCCCATCTCCCCCCATCTCCCCCCATCTCCCCCCATCTCCCCCCATCTCCCCCATCTCCCCCCATCTCCCCCCATCTCCCCCCATCTCCCCCCATCTCCCCCCATCTCCCCCCCCATCTCTCCCCTCCTCCTCCACAGGGTGCGTGGCGACATGAAGGACATGGCAGCAGCGCTGGATGGCAGTTGTTGAGGTGCCTCGAACCCCTATTCCCCCTGGCCTGATGACCCCATCATTTTCCGTGCAGGGAGCGCGGTACGGCGACATGGAGGACGTGGCAGCAGCGCTGGATGGCGGTGCTGATGCTGGCGTGGCGGATGATGAGGGGCGGACAGGTGGGACTCAGGGCTTCGGGTTTAGGCAAGCTGCAGGGTGTGGGGTTTATGGAGTGAAGTCTAGGGGTGCTGTCAGTACGACCCCACCCTCTGTCCTTCCCCTCCCATGCCAGCTATGCGTGTATGCAGCGCTGCACATGGCAGCGGCCAACGGGCTCACAGGGTCCTTCTGGTTGCATGTCTTTGTGACCTCACTCATATGTTTGCTTCCATCCTTCCCCTCCCGCGCCATACGTGCATGCAGCGCTGCACATGGCAGCAGCCAACGGGCACACAGAGATCGCCAAGCTGCTCCTCCAACGAGGCGCGGTGAGTGCCCCCGCTTCCCCTCCTTGCTGCTCCCACTCTCCCGCCCTGCCACCTTGCCACCTTGCCACCTTGCCACCTTGCCACCTTGCCACCTTGCCACCTTGCTGCCTAGACCATCTGGACTCCTATCTGTGCCCCTTGTGCCCCCTGTGCACCCTGTAATCCCTATGCTCTTCACTCAGCTGTGAATGTGGCAAATCGGCTGGGCAAAGCACCGCTTCACTGGGTTGCTTGTGCCCCTCCGTCCTTGCCGTCTGTGCCCTCTGCCCCACCTGTCTGTGGCCCCTGCCCCACCTGTCTGGGCCCAATTTGCTGCGCATCCTTACCCCCTGTGCCCCTACCTTTCGGCCTGTGAACTCAGCAAACCGGCCGGCAGGGAACCACACCGTTGCGCTGGGCTGCTTGTTGTGCCCCTCCTCCCTGTCACTTGTGCCTTGTACCCCTCTTGCCCGTGTCCTTCCAACTTACACTCCCCTACATTTCAGCCTGTGAACGTGGCAAACCGGAAGAACAACACACCACTGCACCGGGGGCTGCTTGTTTGTGCTCTTCCCCCCCTCTCTCACGAGCACCTTGTACCCCTTCTGCCTGTGTCCGGTCCCACTTATACCCCCCTATCTGTCAGCCTGTGAATGCACCAAACCGGCAGGGCAACACACCGCTGCACTGGGCTGCTGTAAACGGAAGGGACTCGGTAGGTTGAAGGAGGGGAGGGATGGGTGCATTGGTGCACACAGTGCCTTTAGTTGTTCACTTTTCCATGTGTTGCCTGTGTGCACTTCGTGTGCAATGCTTATCATCACTACTTTGGACCGTATCTCCACTTGAGGAGTAACAGATTCATTGCTGCATATCAATGCTTTGACACACCTGCAACCTCATCCTCTTTCTTCCTCCCATCCTCCCACCCACCCCTTGCCAACCCCTGCAGATGGTTCATCTGCTCATTGCTGCTGGAGCCAACCCCTCTTCCCTCAACAGGTATCCCCTGCCATTCCTTTAGCCACCCCTGCTCGAAACACTGTGCCAACCACATTCCGTTGCTGTTACCGTATGCATGTTGGTTGTAAATTGCAGGCATGCCGTGCTGAACATTGGTGGGGCACATTGGTGAGGCACATTGGTGAGGCACATTGGTGAGGCACATTGGTGAGGCACATTGGTGAGGCACATTGGTGAGGCACATTAATGACTCTATTAACCCTGTTTCCCCATCACCCCTCACCTCTATCAGCCCCCACTACTTTTTTTACACCTCTGAGTCCTCCCCCTTCAACGTGCCTGCCCCTCCTTTCCAACGTATTCTTTTCCCCCCTTCCTCCCCAACCTGTAGCTACGACCGCATGCAAGTGGACGAGGCTATTCACAGCAATAACCTGCACACGCTAGACGCCATCCGTGCTGTAGTGATAGCAGGGGACGTGCAGAGCCTCACAATCTTCTCACCTTTTCATTCTCCTAATATCCCCTTCCCCCCCCAACCTGCAGCCACGAGCGCACGCCGGTGGATGAAGCCATTCACAGCAACAACCAGCACACACTGGATGCCATCAATGCTGCCCTCGCCACACGGGATGCAGAGAGCCTCACAGTGGGGGGCAGCCAGGGGGACGACACAGGGGGCGACGGGGCTGGGGACGAGGGAGGTGCGGCAGCAGAGCTAATGGAGTGACGGAGTTGTGTGGGGGGGCGGGAGGGGGTTTGGAGCGTGAAGCTGATAAGGCAATGCAGGTGCACTCTGTGGTCCACTGGTAGTGGGAGAGGCTGCTGCCGGCTGCTGCCAGGCATGGGGGTGTCAGTGCCAGCTCTAGAGCCAGTGCTGGGAATGTGCACTGAAGGGGGCTTGGTTTTGTAGCCGTCATTTTCTTGGTGTGTCACGGGCGTGCAGGTCTGGGATGGTGCACTGCACACGCACATGCAGAGCGGTAGTTGATGCACCGTATGTCTCATGAAGTGTACAGTCAATGGTTTTGGTCCACTGCGTACAAGCCGTTGTCTTTCCCTTTGTTAATTAACCCCACCTGTTGACAGGCTGGCATCCCAATTCCCATTCAATTCCCTCCGGCAAGGTGCCATCACCTCGTGGCGTTGTTCCAACATGGTACTGGATTAGTGCATTGCCTTGCGTGCACTCCTTCCACCCTCCGACTCGAAGCATTATGGCCACGTCCTCCCAAGGACCATGCAGCAACTGCGAAGAAACAGCAGACCATAGCTGCTTTATGGTCTACCGAATCTCAGCCACAGGTTACAGCACCATAGGTGCCGTCCTTCAGGACAGTTATGCATGTCCCGCACTGATAATCAGTTGATGAGATCACTGAACATGGGCCGCCGCCGCACTAGTGGGACATTCCGAAAGCAATCCAGTGCACTGCTGTGCTATAACTTCTTCAGCTTCTTGCCACATCAGCATTAGCAGTACTCCCCTCCTCTTCCCTCCCCCCCCTTCCCTGCTCTTTACCTCCCTCACCTCCTGCTGCGTTAGTGCCCTCAACTGCTGCTACAGAAAGCTACCTCGTGCTCCTCCACAGGCGCTCGATTCGCTTGAACCGCCATGGCCACCTTTGAGTCGACTCAAGCGCCACCTGCTTCTCTTGCTCCCTCGGCTGCTGCTGCTGCCGCCTCGTGCTCCTCCACCAGCGCGTCTATCCGCTGGAACTGCCACGGCCATCGCACGTTGTACAGGAACTGCCGCAAGTCAAAGCGGTTGTCCTCCGGAGAGTAGTTCTGAAGGGGGGGGAGTCAAGAGAAGCACGGCGGTCAAGAGAAGCATGGCGGTCAAGAGAAGCACGGCGGTCAAGAGAAGCACGGAGGCCAAGACGAGCATGGAGGCCAAGATGAAAATGGAGGCCAAGATGAAAATGGAGGCCAAGATGAAAATGGAGGACACACAGTTGCCAAGGAAAATGAGGCAACGCGTTTATGAGACAATCACACTGGAGTGAGCGGTCTACCTCAGCATGGTAGGCGGGCGTGAGCGTGGTCATCTTGTGGCGATTCATCGAGTAGAAGCGGAAGAATGCCTTAACCTTCTCCGCAACCTGTGCCACTGTTAGTCGCTCGCGCCACTCGTGGCACAGATGCTGGGTGAAGGAAGGGGGATAGGGGAGGAGTGGAAAAACGGTTAGCAGTGTCAGCATCAGTGGCGACATGTTCACAATGCACGGCATTTCAAATGACGGATTACCGTAAGTGCAGGGCAGCTGGGCAAAAGACCAAGATGTGGGTGAGAGAGAGAGGTGAGAACGGGCACGAACACGGGATGTGTCATGGCATGATGTGGCAGATGTGGCACGATGGAAATGGGTCATGGCATGCCATACATCGTACTGGGTAACAGGATGTGTGTCTTTTGACACACACCTGGCTGAACATGGCAACGCAGCTGCAGCACATGCCACATAGTGATGTACCGCGACTTTGGTTGGATGCATACATGCCCATGCCCATGCCCACGACCATGAGTACTATGAGTACGCACCTGGAACATGGCAACGGGCCCGCAGCGCACGACCTTGCGCAGGCGGCCGTAGAGAGAGAGCTCCTCGTACGTCATGCCCATGTCAACCTCGTCCAGCTGCACGTGCGAGCCGTGCACCAGGTGTGTTCGCGGGATAGCATGCCACACATGCACACAAGAGAGGGAGGGGTTCAATGACGCGCAGAGGCCATTGCACGCGAGACATGGAGAGATAGCCCTTCATAGGTCATGCCCATGCCTGCCTCGTCCAGCTGATGGCGCATGTGGCCCAATGTACAGTCAATCATTCATCGTGCCATCATGTCATCATGCCATCATGTCATCATACCATCATTCCATCATACCATCGTACCATCATGTAATCATGCCCTCATGCCATCGTGCCATCATACCATCATGCCATCATGCCATCATGCTATCATGTGAACTTCCCATCATCCCAACATGTCACCGTGTCATTATGTCACCATGCCATCATGCCATCATGCCATCATGCCATCATGCCATCACGTCACCATGGCACCATGCCGTCATGCCATCATGTCACCATGGCAGCATGCCAGCTTGCCACCATGGCACCATGGCACCATGCATGGAGCGCACACAGAATTGGGATTTAAAAATCGGGCGCAAACTGTTGCACATCGAGCACACAACAAATACTCTCTACACCAGCAAGCACTCCCCGATCGTACACCTTCTTATGGGATGCACTGGCTTCTCCTCCTCATCGATTGCCTGACCTGCACGTAGTCCTCTCTGATTGGCTCCAGCTCAGCGGTGGGTGGCGCTGCCTCCACGTCGGCCAACGAGGGGAAGCCAAGGTGCACTGCCGCCCAGCGCAGGAAGCGGCGGAGGTCCGTCTTGCTGATGCCGCCGATGGGGTTGATGTCGGCGCTGCTGCAGTCGTACTGAGGGAGGGACGGGAAGGGAGGGGAGGGGGGTGGGTTTGGTCTCAGGAAGCGACGAAGGTCCGTCTTGCTGGTGCCGACTATGGGGTCGACGCCGGCACTGCTGCAGACGCACTTGGCAAGTGGAGGGCGATGGTGGTGCGAGGGAGAATGGAGGAAGGAAAAGAAAGGGGGGGGGGGGGGGTGGTCGGAGGGCACCCACTTCAGTAGGAAACCTCCTCAGCGTCTCAGCACGAGCAGCTGATAGACGCGTGCACGTCAGAAATGCCCCCTGTGAACCTCACCTTCGCCAGGTACCCTCTCTGCGCCTCGCCTGCATCAGCGCTGCCCAGCACGAGCAGCTGATAGATGCGTGGAGGCGACCACTCATGCTCCCTCTGACCCCAGCTTGGCGAGGTGGCCTCTCAGAGTCTCGTCCACGTTGGCACTTCCCAGCACGAGCAGCTGACAAACGCTTGGAGACCAGCCATTCTCCCTTCAAACCCACCCACCTTAATGAGAGAGCGATGCTCCTTCTGAACCTCACCTTCGTTAGGTAGCCTCTGAGAGCCTCGTCCACATTAGCACTGCCCAGCACGAGCAGGAACCCCCCTCCCCCCCCCCTCCTCTCCGACCCCCCTCCCCTTCCCTTGCCCCTCTTCAACACCCCTCCCTCTGCTATCGCCTCCCCTCCCTCTGGTATCGCCTCCCCTCCCTCTGGTATCGCCTCCCCTCCCTCTAATATCCTCTCCCCCCCTTCCCCCCCTTCTGCCTCCGCCCCTTCGGCTGCCCTTTGAACCTGATCGTCCCTGCTCCCTACTTTCCCCTCTTTCTCCTTCTCGACCGGCCCTCCTACTCCCCTCCCCCTGTGCCCGCGCACCCATGGCAGCAGCTGCGCAAAGAGGAAAGCCAGCACCATGCGCAGGCGCGCTTGAATGTTCTGCAGGGCGAGGTTCTCGGCAGATGTGCCGCCGTCCAGCTGAATAAGGAGGGAGTGGATGTGCGGAGAAGAGAAGACGCACAGAGGAAGGTCAGTCCCATGCGGACCCCAGCTGTAGCAGCAGCACCATGCGCAGGGCGAGGTTCTCGGCAGATGTGCCGCCGTCCAGCTGATGGAAGGGGGGGAGCGTGAAGGGAGGGAAGAGATGTGTGGAGAAGAGGAGACGCACAGAGGAGGGCCAGCAGCAAGCGCAGATGGGCCTGTATGCTCTGCAGGGCGCCACCGTGAAGCTGATGGGCGAAGACAGGATGGGGCAAGAGAGAGGGATTGATATGCCGGGGGGAAGAGAAAGAAGAGGGAGGCGAGCAGAGCACCATGCGCAGCCTGGCTTGGACGTTCTGCAGGGCGAGATTCTCGGCTGATGTGCCGCCGTTCAGCTGAGGAGGGTTAGAGGGAGGAGGAGCAGGGGCGGATGGGAGGAGGGACATGCTTACACAGAGCGGAGGAGATACGTGGCACAGAGGCATGATGCGCCTTCCATCAGTCATGGAACCTTGCCACACACAAGCCCATCCGCTTCCTCCTGTGTCCGAGGCCCAGCCTGCTCACCTTGTACCAAAGAGTGGTCGCAAGCCGGTGACAGCAACAAAGAGCGTCACGACAGCAGCGACCACTGATGCGCCTTCATCATGCATACTACCATGCCATGCCATGCCCCACACATGCCAACCCCGCGCCTCTACCGTCAGAGCCCCGGCGTTAATCACCTTGTAGCGGGGTCGCAGCCCGGTGACAGCCACGAAGAGCGCCACGACAGCAGCAACGGCAGTGTCGATGCACATGTCCACGTGCCATGCGCCTATCTCTGAGGCGAGCTGCCTGGCCCGTGACTTGGTGGCCTGAGAGCTATGGGTGATTGGGGGGGTCATGGGAGCAAGGTGCGAGAGGGGAGAGGGTTTATGGGAGGAGTGCAAGTGGAGGCAACGGAACTCCGGGAATCAGCTGCCAGGAACCTGAGAAGGTGTTAATGGATTAAGTTAGGAAGTTTGCAATTAACATGTTTCCAGCGTGCATGAATAGGGTACTTCCTCAATCTCACTGCCTGTATCTTTAGAGGGTAGTAAAGTGTTGTCACTGCCCATGTAGAGGTCATTAACCTGTTGTCTGTGCCTGTATAGAGGATCAAAGGGTATATAGCGTCTACTAACTTGTTCTCAGTGCCCACAAAGACAGTTTCAGAGGGTTTCTAGAGTGCGATGACCTTTTCTCCATGAAGATGCCACTCACCTGTTCTCTGTGCCCATGTAGATGCCACGCACCTGTTCTCCGTGCCCATGTAGATGCCACTCACCTGTTCTCCGTGCCCATGTATATGCCACTCACCTGTTCTCCGTGCCCATGTAGATGCCACTCACCTGTTCTCCGTGCCCATGTAGATAGTGTGCAGGATGCGATCTGCCAGCAGGGCAGCATGCCGCTTCTGCTCCTCCTCTGCCGCCCCTGCTGCCAGCTGTAAGCCCGTGATTCGCTCTGCGTCCCGCTGCACCTGCTCGTTGCCCCCCGCTATGGCTGCGAGGTGGGAGCAGAAGAGGGAGCGCGAGGGAACTGGAGGTGGGGAGGGCAGAAGAGGGAGTGGTGACAGGGTGTGCCTCGTTCTACGTCCCGCCGCACCTGATCGTTGCCCTCGGCTATTGCTGCGAGGTGGGAGCAGAAGGGGAGGGCGTGGTAAGAAACACGAGATGGGGAGGGGGTGCGGGTTGTGACTCGCTCTGTGTCCAGCTGCATGCACCTGTTGCCCTCCAGCTGCATGCACCTGTTGCCCTCCAGCTGCATGCACCTGTTGCCCTCCAGCTGCATGCACCTGTTGCCATCCGGTATAGCTGTGAGATGGGAGCAGCAGTGGATGGAGTGGAGAGAAACAAGTGAAGGAAAGGGCAGGGGAGGGCAGGGCAGGGTGTTGTGGCAGGATGTAGAGGCATGGTGCAGTGGCAGCGAGAGGCAGGAAGGCAGGATAGCCCATTAAACCCCTTCACGTGATGCAACGCACCTTTGCCACCAGTTAGCGTGCCTTTTGCCACCAGGTGGCACATGGAGCCCACTATAGCCGCTACAATCGAGCTCTCCACCCGTCCTGATAGCGGCAGCAGGAAGCCGCTCGCACCCCACTACAAGCTACCTGGACCTGGAAGCACGGCGCACCTTGTGCCACGAGCGCACCTTGTGCCACGAGCGCACCTTGTGCCACGAGCGCACCTTGTGCCACGAGCGCACCTTGTGCCACGAGCGCACCTTGTGCCACGAGCTGGCACATGGACTGATGGCCGCCACGGACGAGCTGTCCGCCCCCCCTGACAGCAGCCACCCAACACACCCCCAGTATCTGTTCCTCGCCTCAACCGCAGCACTCACGACCCACCCTTTGCCACCAGCTGGCACATGGAGCCCACTATGGCGGCCACGGACGAGCTGTCCGCGCCTCCTGACAGCGGCAGCAGGAAGCCGCTGGCACCGCTGCGCCTGAGATAGTCCCACAGCCAGCACGCCGGGCCCAGTGCTATCTCCTCCTCTGGGCAGTGGTAGTGGATCTGTGAGGGGCATGAGGGGAGCGGCGCATGAGACGGGTTCACGCATGTGCATGGCGTGTGGGAGGGAGTACTTCGGCCGCTGGCCGCGGTGCGCCTCGAACAGTCCCACAGCCAGCACAGCCAGTTGAGTGAAAGAAGACGCAAGCGAGAGCAATGAAGGCATGTGAGAAGTGCTTGAGGCGGTTTGGAAGAAGGGTAGTGGAAGGATGTGGAAGGGAGGAAGGAGGGGAGGAGAGGAGGGGAGGAGAGGAGAAGGAGGGGAGGAGAGGAGAAGGAGGGGAGGAGAGGAGAAGGAGGGGAGGAGAGGAGAAGGAGGGGAGGAGAGGAGAAGGAGGGGAGGAGAGGAGAAGGAGGGGAGGAGAGGAGAAGGAGGGGAGGAGAGGAGAAGGAGGGGAGGAGAGGAGAAGGAGGGGAGGAGAGGAGAAGGAGGGGAGGAGAGGAGAAGGAGGGAGGAGAGGAGAAGGAGGGGAGGAGAGGAGAAGGAGGGGAGGAGAGGAGAAGGAGGGGAGGAGAGGAGAAGGAGGGGAGGAGAGGAGAAGGAGGGGAGGAGAGGAGAAGGAGGGGAGGAGAGGAGAAGGAGGGGAGGAGAGGAGAAGGAGGGGGATCAGAACAGGGCGGGAGGTGGTGAGGGTGAGACTAGTGGATGGTGGATGGCAGATGGAGATGTCGGAGGGAATGCGGAAAATGGGGGGGAGAGGGAGTGGGGGGAGGAGGAGGAGGAGGGGAGAGGGGGGGAGAAGAGCAGACGGAAGGGTACCTGAAAATGAGGATCACCTGAATTGGGCGGGAGGTGGCGAGGGTGAGGCTAGTGGACGGTGGATGGCAGATGGGGATGTCGGAAGGAATGCGGACGATGGGGGGGGAGACGGACAGGGAGGAGGAGGAGGAGGAGGAGGAGGAGGGGAAGGAGGAGGATGGCGCAGGGGCGGATGCTGACGCCTGCTCCCTCAAGCTGCTGATGGCCCCCCGGTAGCTCGCCACCTGATGGGGAGTCAGGAGAGGAGAGGGGCATGCATTGGAGAAGAGCGGTTGAGAGATGGACGAGGAGTGCAGGGTTGGAGAGCCTGCTCCAACAAGCTGCTGATGGTATAACAGCTCGGTAGCTCGCCACCTGGAGAGTCCGGAGAGGGAGAGTAATGGGGTGAAAAGGGGTGGTTGGAGAAATGCCTCCTCTCTCAAGCTGCTGGCGGCACTGTGGTGGCTCAGCAGGTGGAGGGTGTCATGGGGGGGACGCGTGGAGCAGCTGGGCAACTTTTGGCCTAGGAGGGTGGTATTCTGGATGAATGTGTTTTTGTTCTCTGTGTTCAACGCCCTGCCACTTTCCAATACCACCTCCCATTCCCATCCGCACTTCCTTAGCCCCTTCCGTTCCTCCTCTGTGGGCTCAAGCCCACTCAAACCCGCCCTGCTCTCTCTGGCTGCTCCCCAGCCGCTCCTCCATGCTGCCCATGTGCGGTCCCCTACCGACAGGTGCTTGGGGTGATGACCACATGAACGACGCTAGGTGCGCCACTCCTCTCGCATCTCGCCTCCTCTGCTCTGCACTGCTTCTTGCCTTTTACCATACCCCCCCAGCTCCTCGCCATGCCGCACTGGCCCTGCGGTCCCATTCCTCTATCCCTGCCCATCCAGATGCTGAGGTAGCACACATTACCGGTCCAGAAGCTGCCGCCGCTGGGTCGCTTGCATCCTTTCCAGCTACTTTCCTCATTGCTAAATTCGGTCACCTCATCTCCCTACTCTCCCTGTTCGGTCGGCGCACCTCGGAGCTGTCTGGATGTGTGATGGTGGTGGTGTGTGTGCAGCGCGTGATTCATGCGTTCATGCTTCCTCACCTCATCGGCTTGCTGCTATCCGCTCGCCTCACCTCGCACTTTCTGGTGGGCGCCGGTGCTGGCGTCCAGTACGCCATTCCGCCCCATGTTGTCAGGGCGGCACTTCATCCTGGAGCCCATTTGCCCAATTCATGGGGCGAATTCCCAGCGTGCAACCCCATGAATTGGGCGAATAGGCTCCAGGATGAAAAGCCACCCTGACAACATGGCGTGGAATGGCGTACTAGACGCTGGCACCGGCGCCCACTAGAAAGTGCGAGGTGAGGCGAGCGAGCAACAGCAGGCGGAGGAGGCGAGGAAGCATGAGCGCATGGATCACGCGTTGCATTCACATCACCACCACACATCCAGACAGCTCTGGGTGCGCCGGCCGAATAAGGAGAGCAGGGAGACGAGGTAACCGAATTTAGGAGTGAGGAAAGCAGCTGGAAGGGATGCAAGCGACTAGACATGAGCAAAACCGGGTAATTACCCGACCCGACCCGGTTTTGCCCTACCCGCAATCGGGTCCGGGTCGGGTCGGGTCGGGTAATTTCCGGGTAATGTTTGGAGGTCTGTTACCCGACCCGACATTTTAATACCGGGTAATTGGGTACCCGTCTGTCGGGTCGGGTATACCCGACCCACATTTAATTGAAGTCGGGTAATATTACCCGCGTACCCCTAGGTGGCTGTAAAATTCAGCAAACCCAGAGTAACAAACCCAAAGTCGGGTCGGGTACCCGCGACCCGACGGGTAATAAATTACCCGACATTTCGGGTAATTCTCGGGTAACGGGTATGCATTACCCGGCCTGAGTACCCGACCCGACCCGGCCGGGTAATTCGTCAAAATCCTATTACCCGGCCCGGCCAAAATGTCAGGTCGGGTCAAGTACCCGCGACCCGACCGGGTAAAATGCTGAAGTCTACAAGCGACCCAGCAGCGGCAGCTTCTGAACCGGTCATGTGTGCCGCCTCAGCGTCTAGATGGGCAGGGATGGAGGAATGGGGCCACAGGGACAGTGCGGCATAGCGAGGAGCTAGGGGGGTATGGTAAAAGGCAAGGGGCAGCGCAGAGCAGAGGAGGCGAGATGCGAGAGGAGCGGCGCACCTAGCGTCGTCCATGTGGTCGTCACCCCAAGCACCTGTTGGTGGGATGCCGCACATGGTGCAACAGGGAGGAGCAGCTGGGGAGCAGCCAGAGAGAGCATGGCGAGTTTGAGTGTGCTTGGGCCCATTGAGAAAGAACGGAAGGGGCTAAGGGAGTGCGGATGGGGAACGGGAGGTAGAATTGGATGATGCCAGGGCAGGGCGTTGAGCACATTCTTCCCAGGCCAGAAGTTCCCCACCCTCCCATGGCGGCTCATGCACTAGTTAACACCCCGTCCGCCTGATCGGAGAGGGGTGCACCGTGTCGATTCAAGGCTATGCTTCATTTAGTCCAGGTGAACTCGGGTCAAGATTATGTGGTAATTGTTGGTCATCTCGAGTCAACCCACCTGGTCAAGGTCAACTGTGGCGATTACCACCTCCACGTCAACCACTGAGAACTGGGCTCCCTGCGCCACGACCTGCCCGTTGACCACCACCATCGCACAGCCGTCTGGTTGAGGGAATAGTGAGGGTTGGGCGGAGAGAAGGATAGACAGGGGGCAAGGGTTGCGTCACTAGGCACTAAACTTCACATCGCTCCCTGCGCCACCACATGCCCGTTCACCGCCACCATGGCACATCGGTCTGGTTGGGGAGGGGGTGGCGGTAGAAGGAGCGAATTGAGAGGGATAGCAAGAGATGGGGGTCAGTAGGGTGCCTCGCAACACTCCCTACGCCACCACCTGCCCGTTTCCCCCACCATGGCACATCCGTCCACCTGAAGCAACCAAGGGATGCATGGAAGATGAGGGGGTCAAGGTGCATGTAATCTGATGTGCTTCGCAACTCTCCCTGCGCCACCATCCGCCCAACACCATGGCCCAGCCGTCTGATGCAACAAAGGGGAGCAAGATCGGGTGGAAGAGGAGGAAAGAAGGAAACGATGTTTGCCCTCCATGGAACCTCATGACACCCCCCCTGCACCACCATGTGCCCGTAGACCACCACCATGGCACAGCCGTCTGATGGGGGTGTCACGAAAGGAGGTGCCCCACAGCACTCCCTGCCTGCCCCATCACCTGCACACCCTCAGACAGCCGACACACCCACCGTAGTACAGCCGTCCACCGTCGCACCCCTTCTGGTTGGCGTACAGATACACCCCCCCCGCTTTGCTTGTTGCGGACTGGATGAGGCTCACGCGTGTGCCCAGCTTCCTCAGCTCGTGGTGGCTGCCGCTGCCGTTGCCCACCACCTCGGCCCCGGCCAGTGCGAGACGGATGTGAGGGGCGAGGGGGGTGAAGAGCTCCTCGCATGTCTCACTGGCCAGCGTGCTGTTGAGGGAGGAAACGGGGGTCGAAACAGACAGACAGAAGGCAGTGAAGGGATAGTGGCTACCACTGCCGTAGCCCACCACCTCTACTCGGGCCATGCGAATGTGCTGCGCTCGAGGGGTGACGACCTCCTCACTTGCCTCGCTGGCGATGGTGCTGGGAGGAATACAACACGTGAGATAGAGATCAGGATACCAGGACGAGCGGGCTGGTGATATCCGTTTCCCCGCCACATATACCACTGCTAGAGCCCGGCAGATGTGAGGCGAAAGAGGGGTGAAGTGGTCCTCACAAGGTCCACTATTTATGGCGATAGCAGGGATGCAAGGAGCAAGGGAGGTGAGCAGGTGCAACTAGGACGGAAAGGCGGGGCAGGAGAGAATAGAATGGCTGATAGATGCAACACCAGAGGAATCAACCGTCCAGATATAATATCACCTGTCCAGTAGATCCAGCACGCCATCACCAATAGGCGCCTCTCTCTGCCCCTCACACGCTGCCGTAACCACCGGTGGTAACCGTGCGCTCTCCACTGCCCCGGACGCTTCCACGTGGCGAACCAGCGCGTCTCGCGGTAGTTGCCGTCGTTCGCCAGGTCCATCTTGGGCCGCAGCAGCACGATCCGACGGCCGTGGACGAACGCGCGGCAGTTGTAGCGCACGCCCCGGTGCTCCACTGGTAGGCCGATGTCGCACAGGATGCCGTCTGTAGCGCCGCTGGTGATGATTGCAGCCAAGCACTCCCAGCTGATTGGGGGGGAGAGTGAGGGTTGGGGGAGAGCGGAGGGGAGATGGAAAGGCGGATCGCAAAGGATGTTGTGGGTGGCGGCGTGGCGCCGCTGGTGGTTATGGCGGCTAGGCGCTCCCAGATGGTGTGGGGGAGGAGGGTCCAAGGGGACGGGGCGGAGAGAGGGGAGTGGACGAGACGGGTGGACGATTGAAGGGAGAGACGTGAGAGGCGAAGGGAACGAGGAGAGAGGAAGCGGAGTGGAACGGTTGGGGGGAAGAGATGGGAGGAGAAGAGGGGGGGTGGGGGGATGAGCAAAGCGTGAAGCCATGGGATAAGGGGAGTCGAGCGAGTTGGGAGTATGGGGGGCGGGGAAAGGGATACTGCGCTGGGCGCAACGCGGAGGGCATTGTGGCGGCGCTGGAAGGGGAAGGCGCGCAACGCGGGAAGGTGGCGGGACGGCAGGGGCAGCAGCAGACGAGCGGGGGTCGGAATGAGCGGCCGTATTCCGGAAGAGAGAGGGGAAGGGAGGCGAGTTTATATCAGAGTCCAGACTGTGGCGTACGCGTGCTGGCACGTGTCGTGCTCGAGGAAGTGGTCCTCGCATCCGTAGCCCGTGATCTCCAACTCGGGGCCGATTCGGTACGACGCGCCTCGAGCCTTCGCCTCGCGAATAGACGCGATGATTCGATTTGTGTTTCCCTCGAAATCCATCGCCCACTGGTTTAGCGCGCACGTGGCGAACGTCGCGAGGCGCATGGTGGCGAGCTGGCGAAGGATGAGACTGGTTTCTCTACAACGTTCCTTCTGACTGGCGCACAGCTGCCGCGCCTCGTGCTGTTTGGCTGTCTCACCCTCGCCTGGCGAGCACAGAGCCTGCTAGAAACTAGTAGTGACCTTGCCTCCTAATGCCCGAAATTCTGCGTGGAGCTGAAATTCTAATCATTTCCGCGTTACTGTTTGGCTCGTCAACCTGTGTGTTCCGATGTACATACAATTACTCGCCTCGTTATACACTCCCTTTGCCACACCCCGTTTTGTGGTTGCCGAAATATTTGTGCCAATGAGGAAGCCATCCTTGAAGGTGCTTGTATTCTCCTTTTCAACCCCGCTATTGTCTGAAGGCTTCATGATTGGCTTTCAGTTTGCGATTCGCTCGATAATGGCATGGCGAGTCGGATTTCATTAAAGGCGGCTCGCGTTCGCGCTTCGAGTTTGGCTTGGCAAGGAGCCCAAATTTACAAAAACATTTTCCGAGTCCTCATGTACAGTACTTGTATTAATCGGTTGCCGAGCCAGTAGCTCAAACTTCCATCAATACTACAAGTCATTTCTGAAAAGGTTTTTCAGGAAAGGGGTTCCTTCTTATATGTCGAACTCAGGGTAGCTGCCCATAAAACAATCAGCCCTCCACATCTCCACACAGCCACATCGCTTGATGTGCTGTAGGAATCCCCTTCCCCCCACCCATCCCAAACTCCATTGAAGGTGTTGCCACGGGCGACAAGGCCGAATTCTCTTGAATCCATCAACACTGGCGCCCGAATTTGAGATTCCAGCCTGAGCCAGCAAGCATTATCTCGTTCGTCTAGCACGACCAATTCCCAGCAACAACCCGCAGCGGCCCCATTCCACTCAGAACGAGCTTTACAGCGGAAAAGGAAGCTGCTTTGCGGAAATGGATGAAATTGTGGGGAGGATTGAGTTAGAGGACCCCGACGGCGGAGGAAACACGACCAGTAACATGTCGTTGGCAGGGCAAGATGAAACAGTGGAAGTCTTGACTTCAGCTGCGGACTCCCAGAATTCGATGGAGTCCCTCGAGACGGACAATACGGAACAAGAGTCCCAAACGGAGACTGAAAACGCGATGACAACAACCGACAAGGCAAGTGACCTGAAGGCGCTATCTGCTGGCGACTCCGACGGCAACGCGGTAGTTTCTGAGCCTGCTAGTGCGGAGGAAGATTCAGCGGGCGACGCGCGAACTGCTGGCGAGACAAGCGACGGGATGAGCACGGAAGGTCACTCGAACACGGAGGCCTTGATAGCCGGCTCACGGGAGCTTGAGCCCGGCCATGGAGGGCGGCAGGAGGAGAGCCAAGCGGAGAGTGAAGCGTCGCAGGCTGCAGTCGCTCGCGAGGCGACAGACCCTTCGCATGAAAGTGGCAGCGTCGCAGAGGTCGGGGAGACGGGCGGCGCGCAGAGTGATGACGTGGGGTCTGGTGCGAAGGAGGGGACTAGCGACGCGGCGGATGAGGAGAGGAGCAGTGGCCGGGCGGAGGAGGAAGGCGCTGACGGCGCTGAGCACGCGTGCAAGGTGGGAAACGCTGCCGAGGAAGCGCGCGCGTCGAATTTCGATAGTGCGAATGGTGCTGTAGCTGAGGATGTGCCGAATCTGAGCGACGCAGCAGCTGAGGATGCGACGGATCTGAGCGACGCAGCGGTCCAGCCAGGCACCTGCCAGGAGCCAGCAAACGCAGCAGCAAGCACGGAAGACGCAAGCGCAGCTGATGCCGATGCCAACGCAGGCGAACAGGCCGTGGCCGAGGCCGATGAGGAACCCGCAACCAGTGAAAAGCCACTGGCAGCCATCGCGGCAGTCGACGAGGCGGCCGCTGTGGGTGAAGGCGCGGGCGCAAGTGCTGCCGGCTCCGCGGGTGAGGGCGCTCCTGCCGCTGCTTGCGCGGAGGCGGAGGGCCCAGTGTACGAGTCCGCGCAGGGCGACGGGGCTGCGAGTGACGCGACGACGGCTGTCGCGGTGGAGGCGCGTGCAGCAAGTGAGGGGGTCGCCGGCGACAAGGAGGAGGAGTCGGGAGAAGAGCAGGCGAGTGGTGCGGCGACTGAGGTGGCGACAGACACGTCTGATGCGGCGCCAGTCACGGCGGCCGAGGCGGTGAGCTCAGCGGAAGGCGAGGAGGCGGAGGTGAGAGAGGGTGGGGTGAGTGAAAGTGGGGAGGCCGAAAGTGCGGCGAGGGAGGGCGGGGTCATGGAGATGGGCGAGAGCGCTGATGCCCGTGCGGGCACGGGCGAGGTCGCAGGGCGTGTGGGGCATGAGAAGAGTGCAATAGCGGGGGATGTGGATATCGGGGTAGTTCATAGCGAGGAGACGGAGGGACTTGCGGGGATTGATGGGGTTGAGAAGAGTGGGGAGGCGGAGAGAGAGAGGAGCAAGGAGGCAGAAGAGGCAGAGGGAGGGGAGGTGACGCGTGGGGAGGTAGCGGGGGAAATGGCGGTGACTGAGGGCGATGCGAATGGGGAGAAGGAAGGGGGGGAGGCGGGTTCAGGTGAGGGGGTGGCGGGGGAGGGCGTGAGCGAGGGGGGAGGAGGGAACGGCGCGCTGTGCGAGGGGGCAGAGAGCGGAGAGGCCGAGGCAGCCGGCGACAAGGGTGAAGCTCTGGAGGCGGAAGGGGCGGAAGGCGCAGACGGAAGAGTGGCGGCAAGCGGGGAGATTGCAGAAGAGGCGGAAGGGGCGGAAGATGCAAAGATCAGCGCAGCAGAGGGCGAGTGCCGCGCAGAGCGGATGGATGACGATGGGGGGCAGGGAGAGGCGAGCGGCGCTGTGGAGGAGAGAGCTGAGGCGCAGCAGGCGCAGGAGGCGGAGGAGGCGGAGGAGGCGGAGGAGGCGGATGTTGGCAGCGCGGCGAGCGAGGGGTCGGTGGAGGAGTTGCGGCTGCTGGCGGACGTGCTGGCGCTCATGGACTCGGACGACTCGGGGTCCTCTCATGGCTCCAATCGCTCCTCGGCTGCCTCCTCCGATGGCGACTCTGCATCGGACGGTCCCGCGCCTCTTGCTGATGTGGCGAAACACGAGGTAAGCAGTCTATTGGTGGGCCGATTTGCACGATTGCAGTGGTATCCAGACAGCAAGTTTTTTCTCGGACGGAGGATTTTGTAATCCTTAGGCGATGTCGACCATGCTTGCCTTGGCAGGATGGTGAGCCCGCTGGAGCCGCGGCGCAGGTGAATGCTCAGGTGGAAGAAGCAATGAAAGTACACGTGGCGACGATCGAAGCGAAGGCTGCCGCCACCATTGCCGCTGCCGTTGAGAGCCGCGTCGCTGCCGGTTTGAAGGAGCTGACCGCTGAGCTGGAAGCCAAGCTGGCCGGGCAGCTGGAAGAACGCGTAGCAGCCCGGATTGAAGAAAAGATGAACGCACGCATGGAAGAGCGGCTGGCTGCTGACGTGGCGACGCAGGTTTCGGTGCGACTGGCGGAGATGGAGGCGGAATGGAAGGAACGGGCAGCTGGGGGAGGGTGGCAGGGGGGAGCGGAGCACCAGCACGCGCAGGGGCAGGCGCAAGGCGCGGGGAAGGTTCCCGCGCAGGGGCAGCAGGGGCAGGCGGGATGGCAGAAGTGGATGCTGTGGGGCGCGCGGGAGGACGACATGCGTAAGCAGGCGGACGAGGAGCGGCGGAAGGAGATGGCGCGCGTGAGGGAGCAGCTGGAGGAGCAGTGGGGCGCGGAGATCCACAAGCTGCAGGCGCTCATGCAGGCGGAACGCGCCATCTCCGCGGAGCGCCTGCAGGCGCTGGAGCGGCGCTGGCAGCGCAGGGAGGCGGAGCTGGCGGAGGAGATCCGCGCGGTGCAGGAGGTGGCGGTGATGAAGGTGGCGGCGGTGGAGGAGCGGTGGGGCGCGAAGGAGGCGGGGATGCTGCAGGCGATGGCGGAGGAGATGCAGCGCCAGGTGGCGGAGCTGAAGGCGGAGCAGGCGGGGTGGGTGGGGCGCGTGGAGGACATGCGCTTCCGCGTGTCCGCGGAGCTCAAGCAGGCGGAGGGGAAACTGCAGGCGGCGCAGGAGGCGTGGGCGGGGCGGCTGGCGGAGATGCAGGCGCAGGCGGACGCGGGGCGGCTGGCGGACGTGGGGAGATTGGTGGAAATCGAGCGCGAGTGGGAGGGGAAGCTGGCGGAAGTGCGGAAGCACGTGGAGGAGGAGAGGCGGAGGGGTGTAAAGCGGTGCAAAGTGGTGGAGGAAGCTGTAGGCAAGAAGATGGAGGAGAGCCGGCGGGCGGCAGAAGAGGAGCTGGGGAAGGTGCTGCAGGGGGAGGCGGATGCGCGCAAGGCGCAGGCGGAAGCCGCGTCCGCGCGGGTCGCGGAGATCGCCGCGCAAGTGGAGGAATCCGCGCGGCAGGCGGAGGAGGAGCGCAAGCGGAACCTGAAGCGCGCGGCGAAGATTCTCAAGGATTGCACGGGGAAGGCGGAGGCGGTGGAGCAGCGGGTGGCGGAGGCGGAGAAGCGCCTGGACGCGGAGCGCAAGGCGCAGCGCGAGGCGGTTGCGCGAATCCACGCGCAGCTGGAGATGATGGAGGTGGCGTGGGGGAAGCGCGTGGAGCAGACGAAGGCGGAGGTGGCGGAGATGCAGGCGGAGGCGCGCGCGCAGAGGCGGCGGGACGAGGAGGCGCTGGGCGCGGTGAAGGCGGAGTGGGCGGAGTGGGCGGGGGAGCTGCAGACGCAGACGCAGGCGGCGCTGGGGGACGACGCGAAGAAGCTGGAGCTGCTGGACGAGGTGCGGGGGCGGGGGGGAGGGGGGAAGGAGGGGGGAAGGAGGGGGGAAGGGGGGGCCACAACCGGAGCATCATCTCTTGTCACATTCCCTCAGCATCTCTTTGGTGCTCCCCGCCAATCTCCCTGATTCTCCGACTCCCAGCCCCTTAATGGCTGCTCCTCGCTTGTCCGCTCCTAGCTCTCTACCTGCTCCACTCACCACTCTACCCCGTGCTACTCGATCACGCCGTACCCCTTCCACCCTCCTCGCACGTCCACTTGCACCTCTCCTCCCTGCTCAACCACTCCTTCCCCCTTGCCGCTCACTCATCCCCCTCCCCTCCCCCCCCCCCCCCCCGCCCCCCCTTTCTCCCCTTCCACTTACCCCCCTCTCCCCTCCGCCCCCTCCACCCAGGTGGTCCTGCTGCTCTTTTCCTCCCACGTCCGCGCCCAGCTCTCCTCCCTGCGCCAGCGCCTTGACGACACCACACAGACGCATGCAGACAAACTGCGCCACCTCGAGGACCACATCGCCGCCCGCCTCGACGCCACACGCAAGCGGCTGGACGAGGAGCGGCGGGCGGAGGGCGAGCAGCTGCAGCAGTGGGAGCGGCTGTGGGGGGTGGCGGCGGACAGCAAGTGGGGGGAGACGGTGGGGGAGAGACACTGGAGGGAGGCAGAGCGGTTGAGAGAGGTGCAGGAGCAGTGGGTAGGGCGTGTGGGGGCGCTGAGGAAGCGAGAGGAGGAGGAGAGGCAGGGCGTTGGGGAGAGGCTGAGGAAACTGGAGGAGCGGCTGGAGAAGGGGGGAGAGGGAGCAGGGGGAGGGGAGGAAGGGGAGAGTGGAAGTGGGGTTGGGAATGGGGGAGGGAGTGGGGGAGGGGGAGGAGGGGGGCTGGCCGCGTGGAGGGAGATGGCAGGGCGGGAGGTGGAGAGGGTGAGGCGGGAGGTGGAGGGGAAGGGGCAGGCGGACGGGGAGAGGGTGGGGGCGATGGAGGGGCAGTGGCGCAGCAGGTGGGAGGAGGTGGAGGCGGCAGCGGAGGCGGACAGGAAGAGGCAGCACTGCACCATCCAGCAGCTCATGGAGGTCAGACGCCATGCCAAGTGTGATCAAGTGCTGTAGGTTCCTGTGGGCTATGGGTCAAGGGGTTGGGCTGGTGCTGATGATGGTGTCTTCCCCATGGGAGAGGTCCGATGCTCGCTGTCATCAGCTGTCATCAGCTGTCATCAGCTGCCATCAGCACTGGTCCTTCCCACCCGCCTCTCGCTTCATGCCTCCATGCCCCTCTGTCCCTTCTATGTTCTACCACATGCTCCACTCTCAATGCTACCACGCAGCCATCCCACACCTACCACAGACGCCTTCCCCCTGACACATACCCCTTCCTCCCACCACCTCCCTACTGCCCTTCAGCCTGAGGTGGAGCGAGTGGTGGCGGTGCGAGCAACCATGGGCCGGTACAGCATGGGCTGGGCGCGGCGCAGCGCAGCACACTGCAATTCTTCCACCGCCCACATCTTTCCCACGTGCCCCCTCCCTCTCCCTCCCACACGCCCCTATCCCACTGGCAGACCGAGGCGGAGCGAGTGGTAGCAGCACGAGCCGCCCTGGACCGCTACGGCATGGGCGTGGTGCAGCGCGGCACGCTGCGCTTCTCCCACCACCCCGACATCCCCGACCGCGATGCCTCTCTCCTGCTGCAGGCACTGCGCCGCTTCCGCCCCCATCTGCTTCCCACCATCACCGCGCTCTCCTTCAGCTGGGGCTCCCCCCCGGGCTGTAAGAACATCACTGGGGAGGCGCTGGAGCACGCTGCCTGCCTGCCGTCGCTCAAGTCGTTGGATCTCCGCTGCTGCGCCGGGCTGACCCCAGACGGGCTGCGCCACATCAGCAAGCTGACTCAGCTGGAGCGGCTAGAGCTGTGCGACATGCGCGGCGTGACGGACGCGGTGCTTGCACATGTGGCGGAGATGCGGGGCTTGCGGTTTTTGGATGTGAGCGGGTGTGTGGGAGTGACGGATGCAGGCATGCTGCATGTGGCGCGCATGGTGGGGCTGCGGCAGCTGAGGATGACTGGCTGTCCGCAGGTGACCAGCGCTGGGGTGAGCCTGCTGCCAGGCTGTGTGCAGGTCACACGGTGAATGTGAGGGGCGCATGGGATGACATCCATGGGGGTGGGTGGATGGCGTGCAGGGCTTGCAGGATGCTAAGTGGCACAGCCTACGATGGTGTGGTGTCCAGGGTGCAATGCAGTAGATCAAGAGACCATATAGCTGCGGCTGTTAGCGGGTGTTCCCTCTTCTTGCTGTGATTTCCATATACTTGGAGCTAGGCTTCTCTTTATTGGTACTTTTTCTCGGTTCTGTTTATCTTTGTTTGCTGTTCTTTGGCCTTCAAAAAAAGAGAAGTGCAGTACTTATATCCAAGGGCTATAGGGTAGTACACATGCCTCTGGTTGTGTATCTGACAAGCAATGCAGTCTTGAGCAGCATCGCCCATGAAAAGGGAGACAAGCACGCGGATGTGGGTGACCTGCTGTTTACACAAGCAAGGCTGCAGGTGGGATAACCACCACACAGTGATGATGTTGGTGATCCCAATGGAAACAGTAATTCTCTAAAAACGTAAGTGTAGTGTAACATACTCACAAGTATATCGAGTTGCGGACAACGAAGGCCCACTCTTGCGTTGTGTCATCCACGAGTGTCTTCCAACTTTGCTCACAGAAGGCCCCAAGTCACGTTGGTAAGACATGAGGTCGTCCCTAGATCAGGATGACCTTAGCATCTGACACGACGGAAAAATAAGCCCTGACAACAACCTGCAGGCTGCGGCTCCCCTGCACCCTAGAAGATTTTCTCCGGATTGGTGGAAATTCGGGATTCAGAACTTGTGGTTCTGAGACAGACTCCGCAGGTGGGGTCCGCCAGCACGTGGGAAACAGTACAGAACACTATACAGTGTGTGGGAAAATGCACGAACGAACCCCAATCTATGGAATTGGTGGCTTTGAGAGGGTGACACTTCAATGTTAGGGTGCTCAGCAGCGAGTGTTAGACCCGAGGGTTTAGCGGGAGGATCCGAGGCTGGAAAAAATTGTCTCGGGTCTTACGAAAAAATGACGGTTCCAGCCAGTCAGCTGTCAAAACCGAACTAACTAACAAAGTCGCGCAAATGAACTCCCACCAATCATAACTTCGTAAAGTTCTGGTGGACTCGAAAAGTTCGGCCAGTATAGTCGTAATCCTCCCCTTGCGACAGTTCGCGACTATGCAGCCGCTGCACCGTCAAGAAAAATAAACCCGCGGTTAGGTTGTGACAGCCCGTGACTCCTTCGGCCGCGGGTCGACCTCGGGTCCGACACTCGCTAAGGGAATTCTCCCTTAGTCCTTGCATCCACAACACTTGCGCAGGACAACACTGCCGCTGACAGACACCCGCTGACTCGCGAAACAGGAAGGTTGTGACAATGGTCATCCACGTACCTTCGCTAGAAATGTTTCGTCGGATCAGGACTCAGGAAAGGGAGGAAAGCCGAAGTGAAAATGGGATGGTGGGAACCAGGGCTTATGTTTGGTTTTTGAACAGCTCCCTTCAAATTTCACCCTGAAAACCCAGGGTACGAAGCTATACTGCTCTGTTTTTTCAGGGCCAGCCGAAAAAAATGCTCGGCGAGCGCACATTTCCACGGATTTTACTTGAGGTTGTTCCAAGCTCTGTGTCACATTGGATTCGCGTTAGTTCTAGGGGTATGAGGGGAGTACTAAAACCCAACAAGTTGCCTTGTAGGCAGGTCCTAGAAGAGTGACGGGTGTTAGGAGTGTGCGAGATAAGGGGTGAGGGGAGGGAGGGGCACCGGGGGAGGGAGGGTCCAAGTAGTGGAAAAATCAGGGTCACCTGAAAATCTTCTCGGATTTTTCAGGGTCGCCTGACGAACTTCCCGGATTTTGCCAGGACTGGGTAAAAAAACAACTCAGAGAAAATCAGGGCTGGTCTGAAAAATACCTTAGAATTTCAGTCAAGTCAGGGCAAATGCCCTGATAACATAAGCCCTGGTGGGAACTGTATGGCTCCTCAAGTCCGATTCCCCATCCATCGTCGGGGTGTTGCCGAGTGCCGAATCCCCCCCCGTCACCACGGGGGTAATCGGGAATCGAAAACATCAACTGTCTGGAAGGGGTAATACTGTACACGCCCATGTCTGGCAGGCATATGCAATCAATTTTTTCACAACAGAAAGACAAGCGGACGATGTGTCCCAGTGGGGCGTCTGCTCCTTTGTCGATTGTCAAAAGCCGTCTGAAGCAAACGTTCAAACTTTGCAAGTCCAGACGTGGAAGTTCTCAGAACTGTACTTGTTTGCTAAAGTTTCGTTTGAGTTCTTGATCCCACTGGATCTCTTTGGTCGGGCTCCTTCATTTCGAGCTGACTGAAATTTTCCAGAAATTACTCTACCTTTCAGTCCCAAGTGAATCTATCCAGACTATTTAACTAAACATCCACATATGAAAGCCGTCTTCCCAAATAGGTCTTAGTGCTATCAATAGTCGTTGGTATTAAGGGCAGTCTTCTGATAGAACCGGATGCTGGGTTACTCGAAAATCCAGCGAAGGGCAATCCGACTTTCACTGTTGTGCTGATGAGTTGATGCGCCGCCAGCCCAGCCACTGTATGTCCATAGTACATGACCCATATCCTGCAGGGTAACGAAAGGAGGTGCCCCTCATTCCCAGGGAAACTATAAAGTGTCAGTTGTGGGGGTGTGTTGAACTCAAGCAGGTTATCCAACCGAACAGAAAAGTGGGGGCTCCATCAAGACAGGGGATGGGCGGGTCATTTTAGAGTCCGCAGGGCCAACGAACTGTTAACATTTTAGAGTACACTGCACAGTGAGTACACTGGGGAGGAGATTGAAATCACTTGTCGGGTCAATCGGCAACCTTGTGCAAAGCCGCCCTGCGTGTCACAGCCGTCTGTTCTGACCGAGTCGCCTTCATTGTTCATGCAGCTTATTCTTGTGGAGGGGTGTTTGAGATGCTTGCGACAACAATATACAGTCGAAGTCCCAGAAGGCCTGAGTTCAGTTCAAGTCTCTTGGACTTGGGGAAGAAGGGGGGCTGTTCCCGCAAAGCCCATTCGGGCTCTTCTGGGCTTCCGCGCCGAATTCCGTCCCCCGCCACAAGACAGGCTGGCAACGTGAACGATTTGCGTGTACAGTTCACCATCACGAACCCAGTGTCGTCTCAAATGCGTGAGTTTCCCCTTCTTTCTAGGTCTAGAAAATCAGAAACGTTTTTGCATGTTCATGGCGAATTCGAACCGACTCCCGGTGGTGGAAATCACGGACTGGCCTGCACGACTTTTTTCATCTCCCAAAGTTTCTTGCGCACGTGGTGATGAAGTTGAAGTGGCTGAGCGGGCCGCCCGTGCGGAAGCAGCTGAGCGGGGCACAGCTGTCCGTTGGACGGCCGGGGAGGGAAGAATGGGAGGTGCTCATCTCGGGTGTAGGGGGACGGCTACCCCGTCCAATCGGGTAACGACGGGCGCACGACGCTTGGCAGTTGGCTGAAGAGTGAGAGCCCCCGCCTCACTGTCTCGTTGAGAGAGATACAGCTGAAGGGTTCTTGTTTTTCTTCCAAACACCCTGCCGAATCAAGGCTGTCAGACAAGCTGTTTCTGTCTCGAAGGGTAGTGTTCATTATCCATGTTCACGTGTCAATACGAATGAAACTCTTTAAATGGTAACCCTTTAATGATCTCTCAAAATCCCCAAGCTCTATTCATGAAGCTATGGCCCATCTTGCCTACGTAACACGGGGACTGCGGTGGGGTTAATGGGCAGCTCATTGTTTGGGTCAAGTATTTGGAAGTGGGTCCATCCAGGTTGCCTTTCGGGAGTATGATATCCTTGGTAATGTTTCAACGGTAGAAGTAGGCATTAATCGACATTTTGAGGTGTATTCTAAATAAAACCCTTTCATATCCGGAGGCGGTCAAGTCTGTCCGAGTAAATACCAAAATGATGTACACGCTACGTTTTCCTGCCAGGCAAAGGACACTTCTGCTCAACCCCAACCACAAGCCCAACTCTGCCCAGTTCATCCTACGCAGTTCCGTCCCCCCTTTCTGCATTCATATGCACTGGCAAGTCATTTCAAAGTCTGACCGCATCATCTTGGCTGAGCTAGCTTCAACTCTTTTCTTACGCTGCTACTTCAGCACTTCTCTTGGTATTGAGACTCCTCACCAATTGAACTGAAAATGTCGACCGCTGTCAGCGGTGATGCGGCGGCTTCCGCGCTTGTTTCACCGTGTGTCATCAACGCCAGGAGTGTCGGTTTCGAAAGCCAAATCAACGTTCCTCCGACGCAGCGGCTCCGCTCGTTCTGGAAACCAATCGGCATAAGCTACTGCCAATCATCGTCCGACGAATGCCCTCAATCGCGCAAACTTCCTCCGCCGAATTTGCCGCCGCGTCTCACGCTGAACAGCAGCGATGGCTCCAGCGACTCGTCGTCGGCGCGGCCGGCTGAGCCTCTTCGACTGCCGGCCTCTGTCGCTTTGCAACACGCGCCGAGTGGCGAAACGGCGCCGCATTCCGCCGCGGCTCGGTCGATTGCGCCACAATTGACGGCGCACGATCAGGGAGCGACAGTTCGGGCGATTGATGATGTGGAGCTCTGGCACGCGTGCGCTGGGCCCCTCGTAACGCTCCCAGCCGTCGGATCTGTCGTCGTTTATTTCCCACAAGGCCACGTGGAGCAGCAAGAACGACTGGCTGAGGTGATTAAACGGCATTATGTCACAGATTTACCCAAAATTGTTCACTCCCAATACCATGAATTCCGTTCAGACTGTTCTTTTTTTCAAGGCTTTTGCCCGCACCACTGAATTCCGGAGCTTGTAGTCTCAGTTGTGCCCGGTATACGCGACGCTGACCTCTCAACTGTATTATCCTCTTCGTGAATCTCTGATTTTACCTTTGATCTGTAAATCCACAGGCTAGAAGTGCCTCCTGCGGCTCGCACGACGACGCGCAGCGGCAGAATGACACGCTACAGGCTTCGAACAACGCGGCGGCAACCACGGGCGTATCGGGAACACCAGCAATGCGTCGAGTCAACAGTGGCTCCTCGAGCGGCAGCGGCAGCGCTGCGTGGGACGCCCGCAACCAGAGATCTGGTGATGGTGGTGCTGGGGACGCTACAACAGCCGTGCTGCCCCCGAGCCACATGTTCTGCCGGCTGGAGTCAGTGGCGCTACAGGTAGACGTGGAGACGCACGAGCTGCTCGCCACCATGCAGCTACAGCCCATCCCCGAGGTACGGCAATTGCCGGCCCTTCTGTTTCATTCCCTCTATTCCCCGACACCGTGCCTGCGATGCTCTATTCCCCGACACCGTGCCTGCGATGCT